AAAAAAAATATAAAGTTGAAATCCTTATTTTTACCTTTACTCCTCTCATTTTCTTTCCTCTGCTCTTTCTTGCGGAGTACTAAGAGTAGTAATAATAAGTATTGGGCTCAACTAAAACGGTAATTTTTGCCATCAAAGCAGGCATTTGCCAATCATCAAATAATAGAACAATTAGGCCCACGTGGTATTCTCCATCTAATTCACAGAACAATACCAAATTAAAAAAATAAATAAATAAACTTATATGTTATTCTGGATTCCTTCTAGTAAATAAATATTTGAAATTGCATCCGGCCCTTTGGGCATCAGGTGGTCTCCGACCACCTGATGCATTCCCCCACCCCGGGCAGAGTTCAACCCCACCCCATGTAATATTGTTCAAAAAAAAAAAAAAAAAAAAATATTTGAAATTTGTCAATTTTGAGTGATTCCTTTATAGGCTACTACTAATACTATATATACACCTAATAATGCTTCTAATAAATTCCAAATGGCACAATTTATATTTTTAAAAAATTATCCGCAATTATTTTACATTAATGTTGCCGACCCAACATCATAGTTTTTCCAAGTGACAAAAGTATATCCATTCATTTCCGATGTAGAAAGAATACTACTATAAAATGGGAAGCAGGAAGCCCTCCATCCAATCCCCTCTTATTATATTTTTTTTTTGGGTACACCAATCCCCTCTTATTTAGGATAAACAAGTGCAACTATGATAATTGATGATGGCATTGGCATAAAGTATTAGTAATTTAGTAGTATATTGGAGAAGGAACTAGGAAAACGAAAGATAACCCATCTTTGACGAGTTTGGCTCACCTACCTCCCCCCCTCTCTCTCTCACCTACTCCCTCCCCAAAAGTAGCCGTTAATTTTGACAGCGTCGGCAAGGCCAACCAACACCCACTCACTCCCTCCCTCCCTCCCTCACCACACACCCCACCTAACGCTCACCCCCACCACCTCAACCCCCTCAAATTTTACACCTCTATAAATCCACCCACCTTCATTAATCCTTTCCAGTAGGTAGGTTCAGCGTACCATTTCCCCAACCAATTTCGCATACCAGCAAATATGGATCTCCTCCTCCTGGAGAAGACTCTTCTGGCCCTGTTCTTCGCTGCGGTTCTGGCCACTGTCATCTCCAAACTCCGAGGCAAGCGCTTCAAACTCCCACCCGGACCCATCCCCGTACCCGTATTTGGAAACTGGCTCCAAGTCGGCGATGACTTGAACCACCGTAACCTCACCGACTTGGCCAAAAAGTTCGGGGACATACTTTTACTCCGAATGGGGCAGCGCAATCTGGTGGTGGTGTCTTCGCCGGATTTGGCAAAGGAGGTTCTCCACACGCAGGGAGTGGAGTTCGGGTCCAGAACTCGGAACGTGGTGTTCGACATCTTCACGGGTAAGGGACAGGACATGGTGTTTACGGTGTACGGAGAACACTGGCGGAAGATGCGAAGGATCATGACGGTGCCTTTTTTCACGAACAAGGTGGTGCAGCAGTACAGGTACGGGTGGGAGGAAGAGGCGGCACGCGTGGTGGAGGATGTAAAGAAGAACCCGGAGGCGGCGACGAGTGGGATCGTGTTGAGAAAGCGGTTGCAGCTGATGATGTACAACAACATGTACAGGATCATGTTCGACAGCAGGTTCGAGAGCGAAGATGATCCATTGTTTGTGAGGCTCAAGGCTTTGAACGGGGAAAGAAGCAGATTAGCTCAGAGCTTCGATTACAATTATGGGGATTTCATTCCCATCCTCAGACCATTCCTGAGAGGCTACTTGAAGATCTGTAAGGAGGTCAAAGAGCGACGGTTGCAGCTCTTCAAGGACCATTTTGTTGAGGATAGAAAGTGCGTAGCATACTCTTACCTGCTTAATTAATTTAGTTTAATTAATTGCCTGCTGCCTCTGCTCATACCTCATTCAATTAATTACAACTTAAATTGTAAATGCATCTACTGCTACAAATTTAATTATACCGACGTTTATTGATAATATACTAATTAATTTATGCAGGAAAATGGCGAGCACTAAAAGTATGAGCAACGAAGGATTGAAATGCGCCATCGATCATATATTGGATGCTCAGCAGAAAGGGGAGATCAATGAAGACAACGTTCTTTACATTGTAGAAAATATCAACGTTGCTGGTAAGGACCCTACTAATTAACTTAATTAATTATTATATTACTATTCTTTCTAGTGGTCAGATGTCATTCTCTTTAAATACTTTTATATTATTGTTTTAAATTTTAAATGGTACAATTGGACAAAGTCAACTAACTATACACGGCCGTCATTTTTGTGTTTACTTATTAAGTTATAATTTAGTTTGATAATACTACATATTTGTGATTTTTTTAATATTTTAAAATTATAAAAAATATATTTAATATAGTTTTTAATTATTATTTTATATAATTTTAATGTAATAAAAAATATAAATATTAAAATATTAAAACGTATTTTTAAATGAAACCTATGACTCTGGTAAGTTACAGTTTAATATACTAATTATATATATTTACATGATGGCATGATTAATCAGGAAGTTATTAATTAGGCTTTGTATGGGGACCGCTGGGATGTGAATTTTAGGTTTTTTTTTTTTCTTTTATTTACGGTAAAAATTAAAAGATTTTGTCATTTTTTATCGCAAAAATTATACTGATATTAATTAAAATTAAATATTTATAATAAATTTATATTTTTAAATACAATATTACGGGAAAAAGTATTACGTAAAGAATTCTCAAACAGAACCTTACACGTATATGCCGACATAAATGATGGATACTTACACATGACAAGTGGTAGCACTACTTAGGTATAGCAATGTTTAGGCGTTTGACATTTCTACGGAAAAGTGTTGTCTAGTTTGGCGGTGCTACCAAACCTCCAATCAATTAAATTACTGTACTAGTTAGGTACAATGTATGATTTAGCTGGGATATATGTGTACCTAAGTGCTAAGAATATGAAGGGTTGTGCACTCAGGCCCCCTGATTAAGTGCACTATTCACTCAACAAAAACGAGGCTTCCAATCTTGCACATGTGTGTACCTTCATTCTTCAAGTAAATTTCTCACTGTTAAAAAAAAGAAAGAAAAAGAGAAGAGAGAATATAATGGGTTGAAATCTGGTAGTACCAGTAGCAATTGAAACCAATGGCCTGATCAGTGTGGGATTTTACATAATTACCTGTTATGTAACTTTGCTTTGTTAAATACTCCTATATATATGATTTATATATCCGATTAATAATTTTGTATTAGTAAGTAATTCAATATATAGTTATTTGTAGTGTACTGTACTAATTAATTAATTACTTGTTGGGGATGGGATTGACATCGAGCAGCAATTGAAACCACACTATGGTCGATCGAGTGGGCAATTGCGGAACTGGTAAACCACCCCCGCATCCAGAAGAAGCTTCGGGATGAACTGGACTCCGTGCTGGGAGTGGGGCACCAAATCACCGAGCCTGACACCCACAAGCTTCCCTACCTCCAGGCTGTAATCAAGGAGACTCTGAGGCTCCGCATGGCTATCCCTCTCCTGGTGCCACACATGAACCTCCACGATGCAAAGCTGGGGGGTTACGACATTCGAGCGGAGAGCAAAATATTGGTGAACGCGTGGTGGCTGGCGAACAATCCTGCTCACTGGAAGAATCCGGAAGAGTTCAGGCCAGAGAGGTTTTTCGAAGAGGAGTCAAAGGTGGAGGCCAACGGGAATGACTTCCGGTACCTACCATTCGGTGTTGGAAGGAGGAGCTGCCCCGGAATCATCCTGGCACTTCCCATCCTAGGTATAACCGTTGGTCGTCTGGTGCAGAACTTTGAACTGCTGCCTCCACCAGGACAATCCAAGGTGGATACCGCAGAGAAGGGAGGCCAATTCAGTTTGCATATTTTGAAGCATTCCACTATTGTTGCAAAGCCAAGGTCCTTTTAATTACCTATTGTACTACTTCCTCCCACTATATTTAAGTTTGTGATCAGGAAGACAGACTTTGCACGAATATTAATTTTGAAAGCAAAATTAATGATCCATGGGTGTGAGTAATTAATTAATTAAATTGTGATGAATTGAGAATTCATTTGATCATTCAATTAGGTAAATAAGTTTGTTGTAGTATGTACATTCAGATACTACAGTAGCTATACATACTACTCCTGCTAGGCTACTCCTATATATATATATATGTACTACCACACAATAAATCTTTGATACTAAATCCAACACCGAGTGACTTATTGATTGTAATTATCGTGAAAAATAGTGATTGGATATTCAAGTCTTGAGTTTTAACCTAGGTAATTACTCCATTTCTCTAATTTCTTTAGTGTTAAAAAAAAAAAAATCTCTGACACTAAAGATGATCAATTAGCTTCGCCCCCCTGATCTTGGGTGATGCATATACAATAGATAGGCTGAGACTGATACAAATTAAGAATGCCTCCAGGCCACCAAATCTAAGGCTCAGATGAAGAAGACATGTTGAGCCGAGGTCCAAGGATTCCATTAATTTCTGATCTGAAAATATCAAAAACTCCACCTTATTCTATTCAAATGACAAAGTTACCCCCATCATGCCCAGAAGCCAGCACAGAAGTATTATTACTATTCTATTGATTTATTAGAGTAAAAATATATTTATTATATCTTTTTATTATTAATATGTATAAAAAAATTTTGAAAGTAAATTTTATTTTTAGCATTAATATAATGTAGAATGATTTAATTGAATGATCAATGAATTTAAGATAATTTTTATTTTTATATAAATCATTAATAAAAAATATAATTATTATATTTTTAACATATAACTTTTAAAGCACATATATAAAAAAATTTGTATTTATTAAGTACCCAGCTTAATAAACTGATGGCGGATAAGCCCAACAAGGCGCAACCCAAAAATAAAACTAATATATGACTCAGAGGTTGTTGTTTTATAGTCTGTTTTGTGACGGATTGTAAGATCAAGGCCATAAAAAAGAGGGAAGATTAGCTCAATAATCAGGGGCTCATCTCCTTTGATAGTTTTGATCTTATAGTACATTATAGGGTGGACTATAAGATAGTTTTTCCTATAATACTGGAGTATTTTTTTTTTATGGTACATTTATGTTGGAGTATTAATTTATTTCCTTTTTGTTCTTTTCCTTTGGTGGTGCTTGTATTTATTTATGATTGATACTATAAGGATAACATTTTTATATTATTTTTTTTATATAATTTTCATATGTTATTAAATGAGTGAATACATTTAATATTATAAGTTTCACATAAATTAAAAAAATTAATTATTTTAATGATATATCAAATTGTACAAAAAAATAAAATAAAATAATTATACAAAAATCATCCCCCTTTATTTATATCCTACCATGTTTATTGTTGACAATTAACATGTTGCAATCAAATCATT